AGCCCAGTTAGTAAACCAAGCTGGGAGTTAATTATTGGCTACAGCAGCTCAAAGATAGCAATTTTATGCTGAAAAATGCTATGGGCTACACTGGGGCTGCTTCCACCCCCAGGGCACACCTCCCATTACCCCTCACCAAGCAAACCAGCAAAGTGAGCACTTGGGAGAGTTTAACCTACAAGCAAAATACATAGCAAATTTCATTTTGGGACTTAAAATAGAGATTTACAGATGGAAATAAGAAGACTGTTCTGTGTTTATGATACAGTAAAACAAGTACATTTATTTAATGAAATATATGCTAGACAATTTGGGTTTCTTTTGCTTTGATATATTGAGATATTTGTGAAATATATAAACAGAATATAGAAAAAATCTTTGTCTCAAAACTTTAGAAACAAGGTGGTCTCTATAACTAACTTGTACACACTTTAATGAGCAGTTGCCTTTAAGGCAGTATTGGTCTACTTTAAACAAAATGGAGATGCATTTTGAACCTCCAGTAATCTCATCTAGTAAAATAATTTTTGAAAAAAGTGTACTGGTATTTTAGTTTTTCCTATGATGTCTGTAACTGGATGGATATACAGCTAATCATAAATTGTTTCTTCCAGCCCCACCATTTCCTTTTGTTCTCCTGTTTGCTGTTTTACCACCACAAGAGGTCTGTTTTGGTAACAAGGCTAATTTGTTTATTCAGCTCAAGGGGGACAAAAAAATCCACACACTTGTTGACTGCAGAAACTTGGGCACCAAATCCAAAATGCAAATTTTGTTGCACTTCGTTGGGGAAAGCTGTGCCAGCTCACGGCAGAGAATTCTCAAGCATATTATAAGAAGGATAACCACTCTGTGGCAATGATAGCTTAAATCTCTTCCCCCCCCCAGTTCAAACAAAGTGAGGAGAAAATAGAGATGTTGTGTTCAATGGCACAGAGTGGGAGAAGTGGTTTTTGGCTCTGGCCATGAAAGGCCATTCTAATGGAAACTGCTCTGGATTTCTCTTTGGAACAGCTGCAAGGCAGTTATTTAAGGCAGTACTCATTTGCTTCTAGTATTTGGCTGGTAGGATCCACTGCTGGCAAAAGCAAAGAGAGAATGATGAATTTTTGTTGTTTTCTTGTTTTAAGCATTTCTGAGGCACTGTTGGAAGTCCCTGGTTCATTAAGTAACTGGAGCTCAAATCATTACTTCTTCAAAGCTTTTACTGCAGAATTCATCTCATGCCATTCACAAAGAGAAAATACTAATTACTTCAGAGAATACTTTAATCAGTATTGGTCACTACTTGTGATGTTTCTTTTTTTTGCAAACAGCAAAGCCCTCTGGGATGCTAAATAATTATTACAGAATTATTTAACTTTGTTTAATGCATTATCAGACTAGTCAGGTTTCTATGAGATCATTTTACTTATCCATATTTGAGGTATGAAGTCATAACATGTATAAAAATATCTCCAAATTAAAAATCATAAATTTCTGTTACATTTTATTTCTCTTTAAGAACAGAACAGCTCATCTAATCAGAAGTCACTAGATTGTGGTCTATTGTGATTAACTTGACATCATTTTGCCTTACAATGACATCCTGTGGCAAAAAGCTCAAAGCATATATAGGAAATTTTTTGTTTCATTGACTTCTTTGACATTTTGTGAATGCTGTCCCCTAACTATTTTCTGTTTCAGATCACAGCTATAGACAGGTAAACTACCTTGAAACTTTACTTATCCTTCACCTTTACACATGACCAGGATGCCTCTGCTCTTACCATTACTTGTGTCTGGTAAGAAGATTCTGGGGGTGGAAAAGAAGAGGGGGGATTTGAATAAATTAGTGTGGTGAGAGGGTATGAAGAAACATGACTGTGGTAAATGCATTGCTTCAATAGAGGGTTGTAGAGCAGCACCAGAAGCAGGCCCTATGTTGACACACTAGCTGTAAGAATATTTAAGACAGTATTAGCAATTTCACATTGCAGTACATCTGGTACCCAGGAGTGACTTTCAAAAACTTTTATAAAATGTGAGCCTTTTGTTACCTGACTCAGAGGACACAAATCTTGGGAAAATGCCATTTGCCGCTAAATTAACAGCAACTTCTCTTATTGTGGTGCCACAATGAGCAGCTGTAAGACTGAAGTCCAAGCAAAAATCTATCAGAAGGAGCTCTGGCTTAAAAAAAAGGTCTTGCTGAGGTCTCTGAGAATCTCTCCCAGGGAAATAAATTTGTTTGCCTGGTGGAGTTAAAGGACTGATGATAAGTAGTGGAGTATTTTTTACTGCAATGTGTAAACATGTATGCATATACATATGAAGGTATGCAAAATAGGTAGTATTTACTTCTGAGTCTAAATTGACCAAATGTGAAGGAAGCCAACTATGCTGGCAATGCCAAAGGAAAGTTTAAAGACAAGGATTTAAAAAAAAAAAAAGAAAATTAAAAGTAAAGTCGCAAAACTCTTCTTTTGCAACTAAGATGCTGTCTAGCTCATGCAAAAGGCATGCAAGGTTATTTCCAAGTTTAAAAAAATCCTTCCTTAAAACACTAGTCTCTAAATTACTTCTGCAGCACACCATGGCACCTCAATTTCAAAAAGCAAAATAATGTCTTCTGGGGGAAAAAAAAAAATAAAAATTTAGTCAATGTTGTTTTCTAAACTGTATCCAAAAATTCATTCCAAACATGAAAGGCAAAAGCTGCCCATGCAGCGAAGTATAAGAAGTGCTTTACTTCAATATTTAATCTAGTAATTGTCTCTTTACATATGTATCTCATATGTCCGTCCTTGTGTGTTTAAAAGGTCTTCCTTATTCTCAGAAACATATAGATGGCTCCCAGCATATTGTCTGGAGATGCTTGAAGATATTTATATATGATTGAAGACTTTTATAAACTGTCATATCCACAACGATTTACTGAAATCTGTGGGAATTCATGTAAACATTGTCTTCTTGTACAGACACCAATTTTGAGCCTACTTTTGCAACTTAAGGATGAGAGAATGGTACTTCTTCTACCATAATCTCCTACACTGAGATACCAGTCTTTCCTCTGCTTCTTGTTGTCATTTATTTTTGGCTCCCAAGTCAAACCTCATTGAAGCAGAGTTCCTAAACCTTGAGTGTGGAGAGAGACCTCTCTATTACTAATCAATGAGCCTATTTATTTCTAGTCTTTGGCCTAGTGATCTAAGTCCAGGCAGATTTATTGAGTGAAAACTCTCTGTAGACCCAGGATATGTGCATTTATACAACACAACAGAAAGGTGACCATGCTGATCATCAAGTCCCTTACAAGTGATAGCTTTCCTTCTGCTCATTCTCACACTACAGCTGCTCTTATTCTCCTTTTGAGAAGGCATTGGTCTTGAACAACAATCCTTAGATGCACACAAATATGAAACATGCTGCAATCGAGCAAACTATATGAGTGAAATCTCCTCGGAATAGAGGGTGGTGACTGGGTTTCCAAAATGGTGAGGGCTGGCAAAATGACTACATTGTGCCACTGCCACAAACGCACCAAAGCAAGAGCTGCATATTCACCATGGTAGAGGCAACAACTGTCTGGCTGTAAGCATGCCCTGTAAACCATTGCCACTCCTTGGAATGCCATCTGAGGCCTTGAGGGACAGATTTTGTAGTGACATGGTACACCAGAGGGAATCGAATCAGACAATGGGACTCATTTCCAAAACAACCTCAGAAAGTCTTGGGCAAAGAAACACAGCATTGAATGGATATATCATATTCCTTATAGCCCAGGAGCCTCTGGGAAGATTCAGAGGTATAATGGACTGCTGAAGACCATATTAAGAGCATTAGGGAATCGGGCATGGTAGCTCTGGGATGCAAATTTAGCAGAAGCCATTTGGCTGGTAAACACTAGGGGATCTGCTACAAAATCCCTTCACACTGTGGGAAGAGATATAGTCCCTGCAATACACAGGGAAGTGGCTGGGGAAGTCAGAGTGGGTTTCTCCTCCCACTAAAGCAAACCCATTTGTGGGATTGTCTTTACCCAAGGACCTAGGTGTACTTGGTGGGTAATGATTGGTGGATAATGTGGAAGGACATGGTGTGTGCCTCAAGGAGATTTAATCCTGGTGGAGAAAACATTCTGTGGTGTAAGTTGTATGTTGCAGGAAGTAAAGTAGCAGGAGTGACACGAACTGATGAAGAATGAATTTTGTGAGGAGCAAGGAGAATGCAATGACAACCCAGGCCAGGATGGTGTTGGTGTTCAATGATCAAGTATACCATTGGGTCCTGTCCTGACCACTCATCCCGATGCACTGGAGATCTGGAGGGATGAAAGAAGCCCGTGAAACAGGAAAATAATAATATCTATCTGCCAAAGAGCAGTAGTTAATGAAAATGTATGTTTGGTAGAGAGATGGTTTAAGGATGTAGTTTAAGTTGTATGTGTGGGTAAGAAGGGGCTCCAGTAATGAGAAATAAATACAAAGGAACAGTCAGAAGATACATTAATTATGTGGGATCTGAGTGTGACATAAATGGTATGGAATAAGGGGTGGAGATTATAATGGGTCTGGCTGAGCAGGAGCTCATTTCCCCTTTAACAGCACTGCTGCACTTTGCACTGATAATTGGAAAGGTGCTGATAACACACCGCTGTTTTGGCTATTGCTGAGCAGCACTGGCACAGCCTCCGCAGCCTCCATCAAGGGGGATGGGGGTGGGCAAGATCCTGGGAGGGGACACAACCAGGCCAGCTGACCCAAACTGACCAAAGCTATATCCCATGGCATTTGATGTCAGCTCAGATATAAAAGCTAAAAATAGTACTATAACACAGCAATGTCATGTCTCAAAGTATAACAACAGTCTTAGTAAGCGTTGAGTGTCTTTAATACAGTATTTCCAGAAAAGTCCCCTGAGTACTCAAAATAAGAGAGGAGAAAAGGCTAGGATTCAATGAGGAAATAAAAAAGAGGTTTAATCAGTTCACCTGCTAGAGTTTCATCATGTGTACTCACCTCAATCACCTCAGGTTGGGACATCATGGATGATGGCACCAAATCGGTGGGGACATCCATGGTAGCTCAAAATGCCCCTGCTGCTCTCTTTGCCTGTTCCTCTGCACCAGCAAGCTTTTGGTAGGAACACAGAAGCCCTTCCTCAGACTCTAGTCATACTGATATTTACTCCTAAAAGTAAAGAAAAAAAACCTGTTGAGAATAACAAGAGAACTGGGTAGGCAATCAACACCTAAGATCCTGGGCTGCTGCAAAACCAGTCTGAGTTTGTACAGCCCCACTTGCTGACATGACCACTCACAACAGATTTGCAGAAGTCTCAATAGATATACTGGAATTTGATCCAGAACAGGAAAAAAATTCACTTTGCAACACAAACTAGACTCACACAAACTGAAATCAGCAAGAAGGCTAACGCACAGACTGCTTTTCTTTTGCAAGGAAATATGGTTACCTACAGAACATTGTAACTGTGTTGACTTTTTTTCCCCCACAACAAAGGGAAAAAAAAGTCCCCACAAAAGAGTACTCATAGAATTGCTCCCTGGAATTCAGGAGACATTTATTCCCTCAGTTAAGTGATCACATGAACTTTTCTTCTTTGTTAAGAAAAACAGCTTACACATTATGACTTAAAAATATGACAGCCATTTTTCCCAGGTAGTCGCAGATTTGCAGTACATTTTACCAAACTGTAAAATCTGCTAAGCTGATTTAACAGAGTGAAGTTATCTCCACAGCTATCATGTTTATCAAGGTCAGTCTAGCTGCCATATATATGTTCTTTTCTTTTTCTACTCTTGTGTGCACAGAAAACAAACTAACAAAGAGGCAGAGGGGGAAACCCCTGTAAATGTCCAAGATAATAATTCCATTAAAAAAATATTAAAGTAAAGTAAAAAATTAAAGTAGACTAAGACAACTGGTGGCTTTTTCCCTTAGTGAGACCAGACATATACAACACAACCCACAAATTAGTCACCACAGAAAGGATTTTGGAGAGACACATATTGCTGTCTTCATCTGTCACTTCCTATTCTGCAAGTCATTGCAGAAATCTACTCATGCAAAGTGTAATCAGCATCCAATAAACATACCAAAAATTACTCCAAACTTCTGTGGTATTTTTCAAACTGAGGACATGCTATAGTTACACAGACAATGCCAGTAACTTTCCTTGCCATAAGCTCATTTTTTCAAAGGCAACACTTACCAAGCCAAGAAAGAACAGATAAGTGCTGTAGGAAAGTTATGCTCCACATGCTTTTCTGATTCAGTTATGTCTTTGTTTTTGGTCTTGTTAATTTAAACTCAGCCTTTGCACGCCACTGTGGAAATTATTCCTCCTTCTTAAAAAGCATCATCTTGAAATGCCTGCTTCACATTTCAACACATCCCCACATGCCTTACGTCACATGTAGCTGTCTCATCTTCCAAGCTCTAGGATCACTTTTTCCATCTTTATATAGCTTTCCAGTGACCCCTATTCTTTCCTACTCAATTCTGGCTAGTAACCTTTCATTCTTTCCACTCCCTGCTCCAAATTTCTTCTCCTATACTCATGGGGAGGGCAGAAAATGGAGCTGCAGCATCTCTCCAAGATAGTCTCCACACAGTAAAAGAACAAACACAACCTTCGGGCTTCCTTTTTTATTTAAAAAATGAGAATTGAATGAATTTTCTGAAATCCACTAATTTTTCTATGGACAGATAAGGGAAACAGATAGCATCAGCTTGGAATTCTGACTTAGGAAAGTTTCTGCAACTTGACAGTAAAGTTCTATCAACAGCCTGAAATCCTCAACCAACATATCTCATCAATGTCTTGTGAACTGTTACAACTGTAACTTAAATATGATCTCAGAAGAAATTTTTCCATTCTTCCCATGGCATGCTTAAAAGCAGCAGTTTCAGTGCACCTACTTTACAACAGTCATTGTTAATTTCTTTTAAAATTTTTCTCTTAATTCCGAAATGCTGCCATTTTTGGATAATGAAGGGGGGGAAATAATTACAGTTAAAGCTGACTTTAGAGAAAAATGTCAGAACCAAAACCAAAGGTATGCTTAGAATCCTGTCTGTCAAACAAAAAGGAGAGAAAACAAACATTTTTACTATGGAGCATCATAAAGGAAAAAAAGTGAAAAACTAAGGAAAAAAAATTCTGAAGTCTGTTCAGCTCATAGTGTAAAGCACTAATTGATCCCAGATGGTTAGGTTCTGTAAACTCATCAAAGAAAATAAAACATTTGAACACCATGTAAAAAAGGTGAGAAAGTAAGAAAAAGATCTCACACAAATGTCACACTTCCAGATGTCACATTTGAATTTCTGCCATCTGAAAGTATTCATTTGGCATCACTTGCCTCTGGCAGCCTTCACTAAACAATCCTGCTTGCAATTAATTCATTCAGCTCACAAATAAATACATCACCCCGCCATGGCAGCCTTACCAGTCACAAGGACAAGTGAATGCCATCCAGGGAAGGGCAACAGCAATGACTTGTCCTGTAATTTCATTTTACTACTTGTTGAAGTGATAGGTAGGACAACGGGTGTTTTTCTGCTGTCTCAAGTTGAGATAAGAACAATTTACTGGAAACAGCATTGAGATAAGAATACAAACAGTAACAGCAACACTGTTAATAACATAAGTATACATCGAGAAGGTGATATACATGCAGAAGTGCTCAAAGACCAACCTGGTGCCATGCTGCCCCTAAGATGATGAACCATGCACAGACTGTCTGTGCCCATGTTTTTCCTCCTGACTGCAAGCCTCTCCTATTTCTTGGAAGCAAGATTCCCTTACTTCTAGCCCCCTGTGGTCACCTGGGCCATAGAACAACCACCTAGGCATGCCCACAGGGCTCCAGGCTCTGACCCCTCCCAGCTACTGTGAGAAAATTAACTCTGTCCTGGCCAAAAATCAAGTACTATCCACTCCTTACTCCATGCCATCTGCATCATGCCCCAGTGTTACACCTTCCAACTTTACACACATTCATATACAGATACACACAAACACAGGTATCAATTCCATAGTCAGTGGCCGTCCCTCCAAGATCTTTGTTGTGTTCATTTAGTCCCTGACTGTGGGCTCTGTGAGGAGCTCACAACTGCTGTATCTGGAGCATCCATACCCATTGTCCTTGGTAGTTATGGAATATAGTGGCAGTGTCATTCTGCAACCAACATTACAGACTCTTCTCACCCAAAAAGCAAATCCTTTTGAGGTACACACCATGTGTCCCCATCCCTCTGCATTATCTGCCAAGTGCACTCAGTTCTTGAACAAAAACAATCCCATGGAGGGGTTTGCCTTTCTTGAGGCAGCACTAATCCAAATTGTCTTCTCTTACACATTTCTCATATGCACCACAGCAACTTTATCCCCTTCCACAGTACGTGGAGGTTTGGATTGGGCACGGCCAGCTCAAACAGTAGAGCTCCAATACAAGAGGCTCTAGTGTCAACTAACCAGGTGGCCTTCTCTAAATGTAGATGCCAATGTTTGAAGGTCCCACTCACTAGCCATTGCTTTCAATGTGGTTTCTAGCAGTCCATTGCATTGCTCAAATTTCACAGAGACTGGTGCATGATAGGGAGGGACTATGATAAACCCACTCAATCCTCTGCTTTCTAGGCCAGCTGTCTATTTTTGAAATGACTCCTGTTGTCACATTCCGTTCTCTGCGGGGTACCATGCCTCCACAGGACTTGCTTTTCCAGGCCCAGGATGGTGTTCCAGGCAGTGGTGTGAGGCACAGGGTAGGTTTCCAACCATTCAGTGGTGGCTTCCACCACGGTCAGCATGTAGCACTTGCCTTGGCATGTCTGGGGCAGTGTTATGTAGTCTATCTGCCAGGCCTCCCCATACTTGTACTTGGACCATTGCCCACCATACCACAGGGGCTTCACTTGCTTGGCCTGCTTGATCACAGCACAGGTCTCACAGTCATGGATAACTTGGGAGGTACTGCCATGGTTAGATCCACTCCTAGATCACAAGCCCAACTGTGTGTTGCATCTCTTCTCTGATGATCTGAAGCATTATGGGCCCACTGAGCCAGAAGCAATTCTTGTTGCCAGTCCAGATCCACCCAAGACACTTCAACCATAGCAGCTCATCCACCTGTCTGCTGTTTCAATGCTCTTCACAAGCCTGACTCTTGGGTGCATGTGCATCTACAGCACACACGTTTACAGCAACTCCCCTACCCAGGCAGAGATGTCTTGCTAAAATTCAGAAGCCCAGATGTGTTTCCCTCTGTGCTGCCAACTGTCTTTTTTCCATCATTCCAGCCATCCCCACAGAGCATTTGCCACCATCCATGAGTCAGTGCAGAGATAGAGCACTGGCCACTTCTCTCATTCAGTGATATCCAAAGCCAGCTGGATGGCGTTAAGCCCTGCAACCTGACTTGATCCAACTTTTCCATCAACAGCTTTGCAGCTTGCCATACAGGACTCCATAGAGAAGCTTTTCATTTTTGACATACCCATAAGACATGGCACAAACTGTCAGTAAAGAAAGAGTAAATAGTTTCCCATTTTCAGGTAGCTGACAATATGGTAAGGTCTCCTCAGTACATCACCACTACCTCCTCCTCCACTTCTGATGATAATCTGAAATTTTTGCTTTTGTACCAGTCCATGATTACTTCCAGTGATTTGGATTTCCTATTTGATTTTGCTGTGTGATCAAGCGCACCCCACTTATTCCACATGGCATCAGTGGCATGAAGTGTGGAAGGGACTTTCCTTTTGAATATCCAGCCCAGCACTGGGCAGCCAGCGTGCCAGGAGGAGCTATACTTTGGTGCCAATCACTTCTGAAGCAGATTGATCCCTCCCATAAGCTGCCAGATATGCTTTTTCAGCCAGGCTGTAGGATGCCTTGGATCCTTTGTATTGCTGACTTCAGAATCCCACAGGTTCTGAGTCCTTGAGTCTCTCCAGGTACTTGCAAGAGATTCCAGGATGGTCCATTCTCCCTGGCTGCAGTGTAGAGTACACTTTTTACATCCTGTCTCGTCCTGTCTGGCCCAAGGGCTACTGCATGAACAATCTATTGTTTAATTTGACAACATCCATCTTGTCATTTTACTTCTAAAAACTGAATTTCCTAGGCAGATCCCTTGAGTTTACTTCACCAAAAACCATG